CACCAGCAAGACCATCACTGGTATCCTCGAAGCAAGGCTGATCGATCAGGTCGGAGTCCCACGAGTTTTTACAGTCGACAACGCCCGCTATTTCACTGGTGTTTACTTCCGCGCCTGGGTTGCCAGCATAGGTGCTACCTTGGAGATGTATCCCTGTCGCTAGCCCCCATCGCAATGCCCTATTAGAACGTCAACACTCTGGTCTCAAGAAGTCATTGAAGGCCCTCTGTGCTGAACATCCTGAATCGTGGCCGGCCTATGTCAGCGGAGGATCGACACCCGATCTACATATGGCTACAGTCCTCAAGAGCTATTCTACGGTTTCGACGCTCTAACGCCCTTTTCAAGACGGTTTGAAGACGTCAGCAACACTATCGACGAGGATTCTGTCCGTTTCAAGGCTCGACGTCGTGATCGAGAACGACAGAGAATGGTCAACAGCACTCTCAACGTAATGGAGAAGATGCGTGCTGATGCTCTCTCGCGTATCAATCCATCAACCTACACTCGACAAGTCGCACGACGACGTCTATTCAAGGTTAGTGACTCCGTGATGAAGTGGGTCCGTAACGTCGACCCCCTTACCCCTTCATGGAGAGGCCCTCTACTGGTTCAACAAGTACCTGGCGATTCTACTTACAAGCTTTCCGACGGCACTGTTCAAGATTCCAGAAATATGCGGAAGTACTTCGGTAAAGCCCAGAATATGAATCCCATTACTATTGCATATATTCAGTAGATTCAATTCACTCTTGATATTTGTGCCAATCTTACGGGGAGGAGAGATGATAAGAGTCCATAGCCATTCAGTCTTATGGCGTGCGCTCCCTGTAGCGTAAGACTCGCTCTCGCCCGATCGTTTCAGATATTGTCCGTTCAAACCATTGTTCGGATCCCGTGGATCTATCTGATCTGTCTGCACTCAACCTCCACCAACTATTGAATCATTATGTCCGGTCCTGCATCGAGTTCTAGTCCTCCGGAAGCATTCGACCAGCACTTCCTTAACACGCGAATTCCTTGTTAGGAGTGTTGGAGTCGATATGCGGGTACTATTCCGCAACACAATACCACAGTCGGGTGGTCGAAGAGTAGTACGTACGAACAAAGGGATACGCAGCGCAATAGTGTGACGCCTCTTGACGTCTTACTAATCCTTAACGGCTCTTTCAGTGTGGATCACTGAATTCTCCCCGCTAGGATGTGAGCGATCTACTGATCAAGACTGTAATAAGCGAAGAAGTAATTGGATAATAACAGCGTCGCACGACTCAAGTGGACAAGATTCACCACAGCCATTGCGGGCTTGTCTGCACCTTGGATCTAGTGCGATAAATGATGACTCAGCAACTGAATGTCACCCCTATGTGTGAGTAGAGTTGATGAGTGTATTAGGTTCATCTTGGTACGGAAAATGAAATGCAGCTCAGCAGAATCGAGCTTGCATTTGACCGTGAAGCTTAACGAAAAACTACGAGAGATACTCTGAGCATTCACCGTCTCGGACCAGAATAATTCGGTGGAGGAAGAACTTGAACTGGTGGAAGATGATCCAGCGTCCAAGCATAACCATCGGGCGACAGATCTGGCCTTGGAGTGGAAGTGGGCCCAGCTTGTGCTTTAGCAGCTGTGGATGATGTGAGCGGTGGAACTTTAATGAGGTTAGATACCCAAACACGACTAGTAGAATGGTTAGCGCCTCGGATAATGACTGTACCTTTGTGGTTCTCGTCGATAGACTCCACAATAAATGGGCCGGCCACTCTAGTCGCTAGTTTAGAAGCCTGACCAGTTAGGTGAAACACGGTATCGCCCTTCTTCAGATCACATGGCCGGCCGTGATGTGCCAATGTTCTGGCCCGGCTTGCCTCCTTGAAGTTAGCCCAGTGGTTGAAGTAATCCAACATACGCAGAGTGTAGACCTTCTTACCCTCATCACGGATTCTTCGAGCCACTGCTGGCTGGCTAACGGATGTGAGCTTCTGGGCAAGACTGTCGACTGAGGCGTTTTCGGGGTGTAGAAGTGGTCAATGTCATAGTGTGGGTAGGCTACTAGTCTAGGGCTCAACCAACAATCCGAACTATAGGGGCGATCATTGAGATGATCAACCACTTGAACCAGCGCGTCGAACCACGATCTGGTGCCAGCGATATTGAGGTCCAACAGACAGCCTTCAAGCACCGGCTTAACTCCCTGTGGGAGCGCTCCCAATAGGCAAGGTTAGGAGCATATACCGGACATGCCAGTTGCAAAATAGATCTGTCACGACACCACCGAGCAGTGTGGGTTGAGACAAATGTCTTTGCATTATCAGTGATGAGGACTGTGGGACGATAAGCATTCGCATAGAGTAGGTCCAGTGCAGAGCATACAGTCGACGACGAGACATTACCATAGAGAGGTTGGACCCTTAGAAAGCCAGATGCTAAATCCGTCATAACGAGAGTAGCGACAATGCGATCCGAAGTCGCATCGTCGACCTTCGTATAAGGTAGGTATATATCACATGCTTGGACTTGCCCAGGGCGTAAATCCGCTACGTGATGGAGACCTGCACTCGAGTTGAACCGGCGGATAGCATTGCTCTTCAAGCATGGAATACAGCACTTGAGAGCTCTGGCTACTGTGCGGCGTTGCCTAGGCCAATAGAAATGGTCTGATAGGCGATGAGCAAGTTTTTGAGGTCCGAGATGATGAGACTCCAGATGATGGGTGATGATGATCTTGTCGATGAGGGGACGAGCATGACTGGAAATTACTCTTTGGCGTACCAAAGTTGCATCTGGCCGCTGTCGAACAATTCTGTAGAGTCTACCATCACCATCCAACTCGAAGTTAGTAGCCTGTCGTTTGAGTCTGGCCGGAGTTATACCTTGTGCGATAGAACCATCTAGAAGGTATGAGCGGATCGCACCATAGTAGCCATCCTGCACGACAGAATCGTCGATAGACTTATCAATAGTCTCCCTATCTGACTCTGTCAGAGTAAGAGGGTGCATGTGGTCCTGTAAGGGGGGCGGCAATGGCCCAGCCTGAGGAGTTGTCACACACAAGACGGCGTCGCATTCGATGCCAGTGAAGATCATACCCTCGTCGTTCTGGTTGTAGAAATGCCTCTCCTTTGGAGAATAATAAGGACGCTGATTCGGGGACGCCAGAGCTACTTCTAGGAGCTGTAGCTCGATCGCCCCTCTAGAAGGCATCCTCCCTCGTGAGCCGTCATCGGCTAGGTTGAGGGCAGATGGGAGATGTAGCACGCAGACCTCGATGGGACAGTCGATGAGTTGCTGCCTGATTCTCATTAACTTGCTTAGATCTGCCCTCGAATAGTTACACCTTCCCTTCTTGCCTATGTCGGCGAGGAGCTCGACCTCAGATTTATCTCTCATACGGCAGAGTCTTTGTATGTTGATCAGGCTGTCAGACATAATAACGGCCGATACTCTAGATGCAGATGATAGTTCCAGAGTCGAGCATAGACGGAGTAGCTCTCTGACGGCTTGGAAGAGACTGTGAAGCTCCAGTCTCGGCACCGTTGAAGTGGGAACTGAGGTCGTTTTCCCTCAGAGTTGACCGATCTCCTGTGTGGAAAAAGCCCAGCTCTGGCGCACAGCCGAGGGCTTATTGGGAGCCCTGTTAGTTTGGTCCGCACCTCCACACACCACCCTATGTTGGACGCATCACAAGACACCAATATTTGACATGAACCATTCTCATTGACCATCGGACTCGGCTCCACCGGTATAAACCGGGGCGTGGGCGGTAGGGTTGAAGCCAGCTCCGTCCAACGATTGACATCAAGTATCAACGTCTTGGGTACCGGATTCTCCCACGTTAATGATGGCGATAGGTTGTCGTCTTTCACAGCTTCCACGACCGACCTCCAAAGAACTCTGGCCTTCATGCTGCACTCGATATATCTCCCTAGCGGATCGTATAGTGATGCGAGTGTATGACTCACCATGCGCTTAGTCACCAAAGACGAGTTGCCATCAACGGGTAGTAATTTAGCCGAGAAAATCGGGGATAGAAGGTCGTTTTTGAGAACGTAGCCGAGGAGCTTATTGTCCTTGTCTTCATCCCACGTCTGATAGCGTTTAAGCAGTGGAAAATGAAAACCACGGAGCTTTGCGGGTGCTTCGACGATGTCATAGTGCCAGTTCACCTGTGCAACCGTATCGCCGGTAACAGCATAGTCGTCAACATAGTCGGCTAGTTGAAGCCCCTCTCCCTCATCTATCGATGAGGAGAGGAAGGCCTCTTGTATGGTAGGCTTACAGTAGTTGAAGATAGCGGAGTCGTAGAATGCTGGGCATACGATGGAGTGCTCTAGTGAAGCAGGTGGTACCAATGTTTCTGCTAAATGGTGAGCTTCTTGTATCCAAACTTCTGTTGCAGCTTCCAAGCCTCCTGGGCTCGGACGGGCACCGAATGGCATCGATGTCCAGAGCAACATATAGGCTTCAGATCTCGTCTGAGTGAGAGTTCTCGCCTTCATAACTACTGTAGCACAAGTAGCTGCTGATTTGGCACTCAGCAGAACTTGGCTGAATGCTTTCTCGAGGTCCATGACCCGACAGACTGGCCTCGAGCATACCCGAATCAGGAATTCCCAGAGAT